ATCAAGTCTAACAAATAATGAAGTACTTGGCATTCACCAATGCACTTTGGCCTACTGAAAGGACCAGTGGAAGGAAGGCTGCTCGGGTATTTGAAGTTGACTCTCTAACAATAATTTCAGTACATTTGATATCATTGGCATAGAAGGTGGACTGGATGAGTGTAACAAGATGTTGAGATTGAAATGCAGACATTGTGGAGGGAATGACGAAAGCGTTGGCTATAACGTAGGATCTCCTTTTGTTCAAACAGTGGAGGATGTGAACCACATTCAGAATTTTCAAAGGCAACTACACAATCTAAATCCTAACACCTATTACCCAGGCTTTCAGTGGAGTAATAATCAGGAGCTCAAACCAGACCATAGTAGACTGCTCCTCCAGGTTTCCAACAGAATGAAAAGACATCTTCATTAGAAGATCTTGTGACTAAGATGACTGAGATTTTTACTCAACACATGCAAAGAACGGAAAAGACTTTACAAGTTCAAGGAGCTGCCATCAAGAGTTTGGAAAACTAGATGGGTAGCAAGACCACTCTCATAAAGATAGCAAGGGATACTGCCAAGTGACATGGAGACAAATCATAAATAGCAGGTAATGGCAGTCAAAGTTCTAAAGAGTGAATAGATTGAGGCAATCACCACACGCAATTGGTTTCAACTTCTAAAGATCACAGTCCAGAGATGGGTGACAGTAAATGAAAAGGTACTCTCCACAGATGAGGAGCAAGTGGATATATATGTATAGCCTGATGAAGTAGTTCTATATCAAGAGTTAGAAAATCTACAGGTTAAGGCAACCACTCCTATCAAACCTTATGTACCTCTTATCACATTTCTACAGAGATTGCAAAGAAGGAAGCTCGATGATCAATTTGAGAAATTATTGGATATGCTAAGGAAGCTTCACATCAACATTCCATTCATCAATACAATCAGATAGATCTCGATGTATGCAAAGTTCTTGAAAGACATGAAATCTAAGAAAAGAAAGCTTCTAGACTGGGAGGAACCGAGGACAACGGTGTGAGACTACAAAATAAATTGGCACCAAAACTAAAGGACTCGGGGAGTTTCACTTTACCCATTTCACTAGGCAAATGATTTCATTTTATTGCTTTCTATGATACATGTGCAAGTGTTAATCTAATGCCATTGTCTACTTTCAGGAAACTAGGAGTTGGAAAAGTCCAGGGATCAAGTGTGATGCTATAGCTGGCGGATAAAAGCATACGATACCCATAGAGCAAGGTTGAGTATGTGCTTGGTTGAATAGCTGATATTCCTGGCAAACTTCCTTGTTATAGATCTCGAAGATGATCAAGAGATGCCAATAATCCTAGGTTGACCTTTCTTTGCAACAAGTCGAACATTAATTGACATGGAGAAAGGCGAACTTACAGTAAGGTTGGAGAATAACACGAAGTCTTTAAACTACACAACCCATCCAAGCAAACAGCAAAACCTCAAGGAGGCCAAATTTGTTGTTGAAGAAGGTCAATAAGACTCGAATGAGACATAGTCTAAACATGGAAGAACGGAGAGTTCAAGGTTCGGAGGGCAAAAAGAGGATGTGAAGCCGGAAATTGCAAGGAGTGTAAGGTTACATGATTCCAACATGAACTACCATGATCAATTCTTCCATATTGTCTAGCTAAAGACTATAAATTAAGCGCTTATTGGGAGACAACCCAATTTTTTAGTCCTTTTATTTATTTTACTTTTTGTACCGCATTGCATATAGATTTATCTTGACCATTAGTTTGCATTGAAATTAGACACATTTAACTTTATAGGGTATTACCATCCTATTATGTTTCCCCTTAAATCTTTGAATTTATTGTCAGTTATTTCGATTGTTTAGGTTAAGTAACACATGTTTTGGGTTATTTGATTTTTAATGTTTAATTTGACCGCTATGTGCAGGAACATGACATCATGAAATACTCAAACCAACATAGACCAAAGGAAAAGTAGGATTGTCTAGCCGTCACCCATAGTGTCTTCCACATTCAACATATAAATTTGGGGAGTACCTTCTTCCTTTTCATTTTCGTCCCCTTATATTCTTACTTTGCTTTAGGACATTGAGAACAATGTCGATTTTAAGTTTGGGGTGAAAAATACTTAAAGTATTTTTTTATTTATTTTTGATTTTTGTATGTTTTTGTGTTTTTGTTTTAGTATATAAAAAAATCATTTTAATAAGTTGTGTGTTTGTGTGAGTTAGACAGTCTGGCCAAACAATGATGATTTAATTTGAGATTTGATGTTGATTAATGAACTATGGATAGGATACATGCTAGACTTATTGAAGCTCAACCTTGCAGAATGTGATATTATATGTCCACAAGAATTGAGTTTTATATCATGATGCAACAAGTTGATTTATATGCTGAATAGGTTGAAAAATAAATAAACATAGATGCCAAACTCAAATCACACTATAGTTTGGGGTAATTTTACTATTGTAGGAAGATATGAATGTGAATGTGGATTCTTTGTGTGAAAAAAAAAAGTTTGGATTGTCTTAGACTAACAAGATTAAATTGGGCAAAAATTTTAAATTGGAGGTTGATTTGTTTGAATAAGTGTGTGATAATGGGCATTGCACTAATCAATGCATATAATTTTAAACACTTCTCTTTGAAATCTTTATGACTCAAGTAATTAAGCTTGTAAGAGTATCTTAAAACTTCGTGCACTAAAGTCATGACTTGGGAGTCATCGGCCTAAAACTCTATATAGAGGTTATTTACAAAGCAATCAGAGATGTAGTTGCACAAATTCTCTTCGAAGTCTTTTTGACTTGGTTATTAAGCCTACAAAGGTATCTCAAAACCGGGTGCCCTAAAGTCATCTGACTTGAGAATTATCGGCCTAGAGCCTACGACATTGGTCATCAAGAAAGTTTAAGGGAGAGAATGCAATAAAATAAAAAAAGAAAATACTTTTGAAAATTAGAAAAGATAAGCACATAAGAAAAGTAGAAGCACTAAATGCCTTGATTAAATCGTAACATTTGTTTAAGAAAATTTGACTTTAGATGAAATACAATTAGCCTAGTGAAGCTTTGAAGGTTGAAGCAATCAAATAATTTGAAAATTCTTGTTCATTGATGCATTGACTTGCAAATAGTGACATGCGCTTGAACTAGAGAGTGTGAGGATAGTAACGAATAATTCAACATTAGATTATACATTTGGAATGTGTAAAAAGAAAAATAATTGATGGTGTGTGAATCATACAAGAGATGAAATGATATATATTTGACCACAGATGTTTGAGAATTGAAACAACTTGTGTATTTATGATTGATTACTTAATTCTTCACACACTCACATCAATTTTACATTGAAAAAGTGGACATTGACTTTGGTATTGTAACCTTGAAACTATTCGTAGATTTAATATTATAATTTCAAATCCTGAGGTATAAAGCCATATTATTTAACCAAAATATTTTGCTGTTTGTGTTTTTCTTAAGTTAGGTTATGATTTTGTTGAGGACAAACAAATGTTTAAATTTGAGGGTATTTAATAAATGTATTTTATACACTTATTTAGACTTAAAAATATCGACATTAAATATTCTTTAAGCAATTATAACCTAATTTATTTTATATTTCATTTA